GGAGGGAAAGAAAAGCTTATTGCACCTTCATTTTTAAATTAGAAAGAGTCTCAGAGAAGTTACGGAAAAAGTGTAAATAGTGAAAGAACAATACTCTAAGCCTACAGAATCTAATTCTCTCTTGAGGACTATAAACACAAAAAGAAAAGTGATGACTACTTACATATAATATGTAGGATATAATCCTTCGAAATACCAGCAATGCTTTTTGGCCTCTGTACACTACAAAGAAAGAAAAATATGGTATTAATATTTACATAGTACAACCTACAATTATAAACACAGGCATAGAGTATTTATATTAATACTGTGACTTTCAGCAATTAGGAAAAGTTTACATTTTCAAAGATTTCCCATTCCCGATACACACAGCAACCGGGAAGTCAGCTCACGCGCGTGGCAGCATGCCCTGCCAGGGCTCAGATCCACCACTCGAGGCTCCGCCTGTGGGGTCCCATAGATTCCTGTGATTCACGAAGAACATCAGGATCCAGCTGCGTATGTTCCCCAGCAGAACTGCTATCTTAAAAGACATCAGAGAACTTAAGAGCCCATTCATGCTTATAGCCACTTAAGAGACCCTCCAAGGCATGCCCAAGTTAGATGACGCTTTGTGTATGACTACAGAGTAATTTCAGTGAATGCAAGGAATTATACATCTTTCTGGAAGTCTCTGGCATACGGAGCCAGGCTTGTAAGGGAGCAGAATGGAGAATCCATCCAGCCCATCTCCTCCTCCCACAGCTTGGAAATGTCTCAAGTGTTCATTAAAGTATTAGGGAAAGGAAACTGCTTTTTGCAGCCATGGAGTATTGTTCTCTTTTGCAGATTGCCAGTGTATCCTTGTTAAAGGATGGTGACAGGCATTTTCTCAGTGCGTGTGTGCAGGCAACGTGGGAAGCACACATCGTTACAGGAACTGCCAGAGTACAGACAGCAGCTTAGAACAATAGTGGCGCTTAAAAAAGAAAACCAGGCGTCAAGCCCAAATTCTATATACAATGCACAATATATTTCTGGGTATCCCGCTGACATTGCTAGCGTATAATGCTTGTCATCATCACAGATGTAGCTCCAGGATCTCCACTGCAAGCTGCATCATCCGATCACACATGGCCAGGGTGTTGTGGGACACGCTCTCCAGACCAGTGAGGAATATCTTGCTGGGGTTTTAGCAACACTTCCTCCTGCTGCTCACACCCGACACACAATGTTGGAGAGCACTTGGCGCACCAGCGCTGCTTGGATCATCCTTCATGTTCACTTGGCAGCTCACCTTTACATAATAGCTCATATAAGTTTATTAGCCTCCCTGAATCCCAGAATACTAAATGAATCCAGTTAAGACAAAGACAAAGTGGTTTTACATCCCTGATTCTCACTCCTCATGAATAAGAAAAGCTGCAAGCTCTTTAATGAGCATCTGATGAGCTAAATCACAGACAGATCAATTACAGTCCATGAAGACAAACTGCTGTGAATTAAATTAAGAGCAGTATAGGCGATGGGGGAGGAGGAGAAGATGTTTTGATGCGTGCGATCAGGCCTTTCCACTAATACAATAGGCTCACACCATTCTTCAAGATAAGATACACAAACTTTAGCTTTTGTTGGAAAGCCTGGAGCTTCTTCCTTGGGATAAGCATAATGGAAGCCTCGCTCCTCTCAAATTGATGCTGTGGTCCAGGTTGTATGTGCAGGAGGGCTCATTAACTGCTGCTGGAGCCAAGTGGTGTTCAAAGATCCATCACCACATTTGACCTATTCCCCCTTCCCCCTCCCCTCCTTCGTAGTTTCCGACTTATTAACATTTCCTTCCAAATATTTTCATCAGCTGGCTGTTTCCTCTTAACTTTAAAATTAGAAATATGTCAAGTTTCTCTCTGTAACACCTCTGTTTCTCTCTGCAAACACACATACATTGTAAAACCAGCAGTTCTGCTGCCAACTCCATGAAAAATACTTTGGCTCTTCACCTCTGAAAGCTGCAGATCAGCAGGCCCTGGCTAAAATCCCAGTGCCTGCAGGATGATCCCTCAGGAATCCTCATTTCAGAGTCCAGCTTGGAGTGTACACTGTGAAGTAGTTTTCCCTCCTGCTTCTCAACCAATATGAGTCACCATTTACCTCAACAGCCTTAAAGCCTTTGTCAGTCTCAAGCATTTTAATTGATGTTTAGCCAGTAATGTTTCTAAGCACGTGGAGCATGCGTACCCTTTACAAGTGTAAAGGAGACATTTATATTCAGCGCTCACTCTGCTCACCCTCCTCCTTGTATTTTAATCCACTTTACAAGTTCTAAAATGAGCTGGGAAGATTCCTGCTTCCCACATCTCCCAGGCTGTAAGATTTCTGCTTCTGCCTCTTAACAATTCTGTTTCACACAGCCAATATGCTTACTGCTGTCACATGAAAGGCTCCAGCCTGGGACAGTTTTGCAAGTAACACTTTTGCAAGCTACAGGGCTTGGATACCTGCACTAAAAAGAAATCCTTCAGCACTCAGACTCTGCTTCTGTATGGGCCCTGGAACAGCAGGTACCGATCCTGACTTTGCCTTTTTAATATCACAGCGCTATGAATATTGCATGGCAGTCATTCAGCTCTCCTACACAGGAATCAGGCAAACAGGCAAGTGGACCTCAAATATGAGAAGCGCAGCCAAATCTGATACATATGACATGTCAAACAGATTTACACACATGGGGCTAACTGCTGTGGTCTCTGCTTGATTAAAACCCCTACTGATCCTCCACGGCAACTTTACACCCCGACATAAAGCAAGCAGCTACTAACCACCACATCTACTGCTGGCTAGCAGACCTCGCAGGAATTCCCTGCTAAGAATAAGACAAGAATGCGATTGCCTCTAAGGATCTGAGCCTCCTTAGCACTCAGGTACCAGTGAGGCGAGTAAGGTAGTCAGGGCACAGATTAGATTTTTCCCATCCCACACCCATCCTCTGAAGCAGGATATGATCATCCATCTCTTGCCAAGTTCCAAAGTATTCTTCTGAGTGGTACCAGCCTCTTAGTTAAGCTGGTGGAGAGCCATACAAGCATGAGAGGGGACGTATGCCATCAGCATCAGGCTCTCATCTTCACAGAGCCTCTGGAAGGTGATGTCCTTGTAGTTGCTTGAGACTATTAAACCCTCAAGAAACTGCAGCTGGCAGCAACGCACTGCAGTTCACAAAACAGACATGGAAGGAAGATTACTCATATTATTGCAATGCAAAAGGACCTCAGATATCAAGGTTGGTGCCCACTCTTTTAGCTTCTACACAAAGACAAGTTGTATCTCAGTGTTTCTAACAAGTGTTTGTTCATATCTTTAAAAAGCCATTTACCCATTCACTAACAGCAAAGAAAGTGCATTTATGCTTTTTAAACTAAGCTTAGGTATGGCCCTGCTGATGCTTTCAACTTTTCTAGACAAAGGACTTGGCACATTTTCCTTATAAAAGTCCTCCTTCTATGTTCCTTAACAGTTTGGCACAGCTAAAAAACACAAATAGAAGACTATGTTCATTTTTTAAATACATGGTGGAGGTCTAATTGGGTGTACATATGTAGTCTTTAGAGAATTAATGGTATGTGAATCAGCCAGATGCTTGAATACATTCCTTAAGATTGAGTACTTGGAAGAAGGAAAAAAAAAACCCGACACAAACCACAAGACTTAGTTATTTGTTTATTTGTTTCAAAATAAACCAGCATCTGTCCTGTAGTCAGTTTTCTTTGACAGACTGCAGCAATGTGAACTGCAAGCCATCCTTTTCTGTGGCCTCTGAATTCATCCAGATTTCCTTTAACAAAGGAAACATGCTTCCTGCCACGGAGTGAAATTGCAAATGTTACTGCTGCTAGTAAGAACAATGAGAAAGAGAAGTTACTAAAATATTAACCAAAGACTGGGTTTGATCACACCATAAAATATGGAACATGAGTACATATGTATGCACATGGTGTGGGGGAAAACAGACCAGGCAGCCTGCTCAGTGAATGCCGGATGGTACTCTACAGATCATTAGTTATGCTTTGCAGGATTTGCAGAAATACTATGTCTAGCAGCAATATCCTCCACACTGCACACCGTTATCTTTCAGGTGATAGGACAACAAAAAGAAAACAGATCTGATCAATTAATTACTCTTTGCGATCAAGGGAGTGGTGGATTCACAGTCAGTGCTTTTACTGGAGGTTTGGAAATTAATAATAAAAAAGTAAAAAACAATTACAGCCCCATCTGCAGACAGTAAATACTTTTCAGGAGGAGTACAGCCTGCTTTTGCTATGGGCAGCAATGGAAAAAGCAGCCTGCTGTGGACGGATGTGTTTGTGGAGGGCAGGGGGAGGGCAATTGCTATCTGTATGCTGAAGGGACATGCACAGCAAATTTGTGACATCTGCTTAAAGCCAGATTCTGTAAGAGGCACAGGTCTGCTATCAATCACAAAGTCAATGAAACCCAGCAAGTTATCAGCAACCGAGGGCAAGATTCTTTCTTCTTAACTAGACAAAAAGCTAGATGCTACACACAATTTTCATTATGTATGACAGTTATAAGGATCCAAACAGGTAGATTCAAAAGGAAGAAAAGCAGGTATTTAACAGATGTGATAGAAATAGCTCCTAGGATTCTAGGATGATCCGCTTGGTGGCTGTTACCTCCCATTCAGCTGGGTACATTCTATACAATAGTAGGATGCAAGTTGATCCCAATGCCATTCTTGTGGCTACAGCCTCGGAGGCTCTGCTAGGATCCATTTACAAGCGGACAGAAAAAAAAAAAAAAAAAGAGTTAAAAGTATCTAAGACATGGAACAAGACGTTATCATTTCTGCACATAACACAATCCTGTTCCAACACACATCTAGAACTCTTCCACGCATCTAAATCAAACTAGTTATTGAGGAAATGGTAAAGACATTACCTTTCTGGCCATACGGCTCCACAGCACCCAGGAAACAACTGGCTATGCCTGCTGCATCTGTTACAGAAGGCCTCCTGCAAAAATCACCTACACAGATCTTTTCCAGTTTTATTGATCATTGCACCTGGAAAGTATTTGATGAAGCCCAGACTAAAGGATGGGAAAGTCTACAGTGCAACTCCAGACTAAATAAACCAGTTCCAGAAGTCACATACATTACTGGCTAGAAATCACGCTGTTTTATGGGATCTGACCTTTAAAATTGTATCGGTTTTCAGAACGCTA